ACAGGCTTTATGTTTAGCAGTGTTTAATATTTGGGAGGTTTGGGGGAGTCAATCATCTGACTTTAAAAAAGTGTGTTAGTTATCTATCCTGTGGTATGGAGTTCTTCTGAACGGTCATCATTTCAAATGTCTTCTGGGTGTAAATGAAAGCCATAGCTCAGGTAGGTCCTATTTGTCTTCAGTTTGGAAAGTAAACAAAAAGCCTAGCAAAGCCAAGTTTAAAATATCTTTACAAGACAAATCAGTGAGTCCTTTCCAAAGCAGTCAGATCAGTGTCATCTCATCACAGAGTTCGAGAGCTTCTCTGACGTGAATGGAGCAGAGATCCCAAGAGCAAGTGGAGGGAATTAAATTCTCTTCAAAGAGGGAAATGCTTTATGAAGGAGGCTTACAGAAAAAAAGAAACTACTCTGGTATTGATATGAAGCCACTGGTAATCCATTTGAAGAATTTTTCTGCTAATCCTCTTAGAGTCTCCATTGCTAAAAGTTTCCCCAATAAGAGAAGGTTAGGGGTTAGCCTTATCGGTTCCAAAATTAATATTGACCAATACCAATTACATTTGTACCACTTTTTCCATGTTTTTAATTCTTTATCAATAATTTAAAATTGGTGTCAGGTTTGAAAGACTGACTCCATGGAGATGCTGCTGTTTCCACCGGACAGGAGGCTTACCAAAAAAAAAAGTTAAAGACCAACTCCTTCCTTTATTATAGGAGTTAGCAGAAGAGGAACTCCATCTCACTTGCAGTTCTCCATTGAAAAGGGAGTTATCCCTAAGCTCAGTTTCTGTGAAGTCAAGTCAGAAAAGGTCTATAGAGTGAACCAAACCCTTTTGTTACTTACCTCAGCCACTTCCAGCTGAATTTCCATATGGTCATTATTCACAGCTGTGTTAGACTTCACAACTTCATCATCATACTAGCTTCTCAGACTTTTTCCCCACACTCTTTAAATTGAGGTTCCTCAACTAATGGAATTTCTGAGCTAGCAGATTATTCCTAACCTTGTGGTTCTCATCAGTATTGTCATCACCCGCCACTAATCTGGGCACTTTCTCCTGACAGAAGTAGTGTATGATCTCCACCTCCAGCACAAGGTAGGTACCAGGATTATGAGATACCAGGTGCTGCAGTTGAAGAACTCAATTGACGGTAGCACATTCCACAGGTTCCTTGAGAAGTTTGGGCAGAATATGGTTATTTCATTCTCATTGACGTCATCCAAGAAGTGCTTATTCTAGGACTCTTATTTCAGACTTTTACTATATCTGACATCAGATTTAATAGGTTAATCCTATTGAGTCCTTTGGTTTACTTCACACAGACCTAGTATCTCTACATTTAATTGCTTTGATGCTCTCTAATTTAATAATATAGAAGAATTATGCCCCAAAAATGTCCTGATTTTTTTTTTCTTGATAAATAGGGAGAAGACATCTTCTCCATTAATGAATGAGGAAGGTACAATTTTCAACAATGTTAACTACTTCCATTCATGGCAATATTTCCTTTTCTAGACTATCTTCTTTCTAAAAAACTATGGGTTGCTTAAATAAATAAATGTAATTGCAGTTTAGCCACTATGTCTGCATATGGTCTTCTGTTTGAAATATTTTTAATTTTTTGCAGCAATTACATATTATTATCAATTAAAGAGCCTTCTCCATCATGGTTTTGTGCCACATTGTCTTCTGTTTTGATTTTCCTATCGTGTTTAGAGTAGGATCTTTTTATGATTGGTTCATTTTTCAGTTCTTAAGAAGAGCAAGATAAATGAATGACACGATACCAGGATGGCCTATTTCAGAAAGAAAAGCTCACTTCATCCTAGCTTTCTTCTGAACACTGTATCAGAATTTCATATTAGTTAGTGTTATTGGCTGTTGGTTTTTTTTCAATTCAAATGACATGTCATGCTCATGATTTAGCTGGAGCTTTTTTTTTTTTTTTTTTTTTTTTTTTACAATCTTCAGGACTAATGGTAGTATCAAAAAAAGTAAAGGTACAGTAATTTGTATTGTTTGAAGATAAGCAAAAACATTTTTTTTGGAGAATATTACATTATGTTGTTTGGCCAGCCAATCAAATTCTACCTGTGCACTTGAATGGTGTTGGTCGCTGCTTGCAAGTAATTCAGGTCTGGACACTTGTAGGGTTTCTATTTATTCCATACTACATGGTTTTACAGAGCATTATGTCTTATGGCAATGCCTGTTCAAAAAGTGTAACTCTGGGAAAGTGGTGATGCTGCTTCATCCATCTGTGACTCTGACACCCACTTGTGACACTTCCTGACCTCAGGGAACCAAGCATGCACCCTGTTATCTCGCTACAGGTGAGAGGGCTTTTGGTTTACTACACGTTACTCTGCAACACCCCTTCACCTCTAGGGCTGTGTACCTGAAATGAAGGTACACTCTTACCTTTGAAGGTGCTGGAAGTTATGCTTAGAATCAGGATATTTGTTTAAAGGGAGCATTGCAGAGCAGATTCATGGCGCCTTTTGGTGAGCAATGTCATGTTATCTATTTACTTTAAAATCTTATAAAACTTAAACCATTTTAAGGTAAAGTGCAGAAAAAAATAGTTGTGAAATCTAAAGCAAACAACATAGTTAAAAATGTCTGTAATAGGTGTAGGTGAAGAAATGAAAGAAAATCCCACATCTATTTAATCTTGGCATAGCTAGTTGAAATCAGAAAGCTCTAGCCCTTATCCAGCTGGTGCATTAATTTAAGAAAAGAGAACGGCGATTGATAGTCTTGGAGAGGTGTTTTTTGTATATATTGTACTGTCTGTGCCTCTTCCGTATGATATTGTGGTGCATGGGGCTGGGTTTTGATTAGCGAAGGAACTGAACTAAGCCTTCAGTTGCTCCTTGTGCTTCTTTGTATTTCAGGTGGGAGGTAACAGGAAAGATAGTTCACGTAGTTACGGGAGCTGGGGTGGCTGAGCAGCTACTGATCAGCTAAAGAATTCCACCTTGTGATGCTTGCCCCTGGGTTGAAAATGTGCAGACAGTACAGCTTAAGAAAAACTTGGAGTTGAGAATCTTCATATCTTTTCAATTTCAGAGATAACTTCTGTTATTCTCAGTTCTATCTCAGTCACATTAATGAGGAGAGATCATAGAAGTCTTAACTACGTATATTTTAAGATTTTCAGACTTGTGCTTTAATTTAAGCATGTTCCTAAATATCTCTTGGGCTGGCATGGGGGCTGCTGTGTGGGTGATGAAGTTATCTGTATGTGTAGTAGCAAAATATTTAGTTTTAGGAGTATTAGTTATAAAAAGTTGTTGCAGGTACAGAACATCACATTTGCTGCTCTGTACTAGACTTCTTACCCTGTGGAATTGTTAGGGAATGCATGTGCAGAAATCAATTAAGTCTAGTAATTTAACAAATTATAAAAGATCTGTGGTATAAGAAGAGTTTCGTGATTACAGGTTCTTCCCATCTGTATGCCAGTGCAAAATACTCTGCAACTTGAGGTTAAGAAAAAATTAACTCGTACCCTGAGGGCTGAAGGGTGCTCTCATAGCATCAGTGTTCTCGGCTGTTTTGGAGTCCCCCTGTGCAGAGGACAGCACCGCTGCACCCCAGTGACCGGGCTCGTTTGGCAGGGCTGGTGGGCTTCCTGAGCTCACTTTATGAACTCATCGGAAATCTGCCCTGCATCCAGCGCTGCTGGAGCCGTTGTGCTTGGGGAGAGCGCCAAGAGCCAGCCCAGAGCTCTGATGTCGTCCGTCAGGCTTAAAGGGGAAAGTTCATTGTCATTTCAACCAAAGCTATGAAGTTAATGCCCCTAATTTAGTGTTTTAAAGCAGTTGGAAAAAACACATGCACTGAGGGTTTTAATGTGTGTGCATTATCAGCTGATTTGCAGTAACTCTTCTGAGCATACTAAGGCAAAGATAAATGCAGGCTTCACTTGCTAGGTGACATTTGTTAAAGGAGTTTCAAGATTCCTCAAAGTTTGTCATATAATTAGGATTTACCAGCTTGGTTTAGAGGTACTCTTAGTTCCTTAGGTAATTGATGAAAGAAATTACAGTGTTTCAGCAGAAAACATATTGCAGTTGCAGCAGCCCATTTATTTTTTCAGCCCATTTACTGATGAATTTGCAGTTCTCGTTTCACTTTAGGTGAAGTAATAATAAACAGAGGATAGAGTTTATCTCCATCCAGAATGTTGTAACGCAATAATAATAGCAGGCATATTTGTTCTCATCAGCTTGGCTTCCATTTTCTTATTAATGGCAGTAAAATCTACAGTCTGCAATTAATCATTTGGAAGCAACAGTAGTGTAGCACCTTGTTTAGTTTAATTTCAGTTTATTGGATTTCAAATTCACATTGTTATTGGTTTGGGGTTGTTTATACTTGCCGTGGTCGTGATCCTGATTTTTCATTGTAAGATTCAAGTATTGAATGTTTACTCTAAGTTCTGTTGTCATTGGTTTTGAAGGCGCTATGTCAAAAGGGAAATGTAGCCACTTCAACCCTGCGTACAATTTGTGTGAACTTTTCTCTTACAACAGGTATTTATAGCAATATTTTCAGTTGCCAGCAACACTGTTGAAAAGAAAATAATGTGCAGAAGTAATTTTCAAATCATCTCAAGTGATGGGTGGCTCCACTGGCCCAGAGCTCCCCAGCATGCACTTTCTCACAACCTGCTCTTTACATGTGCTACGTGGTATGGGGTTTGCATTTTATGATGCTGGGAGAATTATAAGTAGTAAAAATCCTGCATACTTTAGAGCAGCACTTGTCTAACCTGTTCTGCTGAGCTCAGCGTCTTGCCAGAGCAGAACTAGCTATGGCTTTGAGGAAGTGGGTAAGGTACATTGTAATTATTTGCTTAAAATAATACTCTTTTATCTTTGATGCATGAAGTACTTAGCTGCTATCATTAGGTCATGTTCAAGCAATATTATTTAGATCTTAGTCTAAGGGGTTTTTTTAATCTTTTTTTCTTTTTTTTGTCCCTCAGTTTGTAAGACTTGTATTGTTCAACACTTTGAAGACAGCAATGACTGTCCCAGGTGTGGCAACCAAGTGCACGAGACCAATCCACTAGAAATGTTAAGGTAAGATGACATTGCATAATGTTTGCTGAAATGGAACAACAGCAAATAACAAATAAAATCTTGTTATCTTTATCCTGAAAAGGAATTCAAGTTTTTGCTTATTTGTAAAATATATGCATCAACTGTTCATGGCCATATCTTCTTTCAATTTTTCATCTCCCAGTAAATTGTAAATTGAGTTTTTTCAGATAGAGTAAAAGGAGGAAAGATAAGGGAAAGACACAGAAAGGCTGGATATATTGTACAAATGAAAATAAATACTTTACTACTTCTATTAAACAAGTAAATGAACCAGATACCTTGTATTCTTTACATGAAATTAAAGTCTAGAGTTTCTTCTTTCAAATGCATCCCAAACTGCAACTTTTTTCTTCTTAGACCAATGTAGAGAATGAATCATGCAAATAACTGAATGTTTTCCAGAGCGTAGATTTACCAATTTGAATTGAAATCTGCTGTCAGATTAATGAAAAGACACTCATGAAAAGAAAGTTTTGATACTGAAGTGCCCTTTCTTGAGAGTTTGCATTTTTTATATCACAATAACACAGCTTTGTTTAAACAATTATTTTTCTTGAAATTCTGGATTCGCTTTTAGTAATGTTATGTTGAAACAAAGGTGATAGCCATCCTACAAGTACAGTACAGAGAAGTAAAGAAATTGCATCGTAAGTGGAAGAACTTCATGTTTTCCTAAAATGATGAAGCTGCTCCCTGCCCTCCCTCCCTCCCCGCCCCCAATATTATTAGTTTGTATTACTGTTGTGAACTTAGGAAGAAATATTCTTACATTACTGTTAAAAAAATTATTTACATGTGGAATTTACTTGGGTTGGTATTATTTCCTGATGTTGTTGTTTGCTACAATTTGTCGTATTTTGCCTTGATTTTTGACTGATACGTGTGTGCAGAGCAATTCTCATGCTTCAGCTATGTACAAAGAGGATAGGTGAGAGAGATTAAATCCAGCAACTCTGAAGGGTGTCATTATCTTAAGTCTTTATCATCTGAATGTTTTTTGGAAGGGTAGAGCTGAAAGGGTTTATGTAGATGTTTACCATAAGTATTTGTCTGATCTCCTGTCAGTGTCTGAGGTGCTGTGTCAGCCGTAACAGAAGATGCTATACAGAGTGCACGAGGCTACTAATAAGCTGAAAACAAAAGCATTTTAGAAATATTTCTTTTATTCTGACAGGACCGATTCTTAGGAGCTGAAAAATGCATTTTCTGAAACATCTAGTAGATGCTTAGTAAAATAATAATATGCTTTAAGCAGGAAATGATAGAAGGGTGAGAAAAGTTGAGACCACAAGCCAGAAATGTGGGAAGAGCTATTTTCTCTGCAATTATTTCCTGAAACTCCTTTTAGAGTCCCTGGGTTTATTTTCCAACAAACTGCATATAGCTAGTAGTTTCCTGGTTGTATTTTATGAAACAGTTTTAAACATTTGCTAAACTAATAATCAGAAGACCACATGAGCAGTGGAATGAAATTATATTTTTTTGGATGTTGCCTGCATAACTTAATACATGTCTTACACTCTGACTGCAGAGACCAGCCCAATCATTGCTCAAGAATGCAGTCATTTTCTGAGAAATGGTGTTGAGCGCTCCAGATAGTATTTTTAACCGAGATCTTTGAGATAAACTTTATAAACTACTTTATAAACTCAATTCTGAACAACTTCATAACTACTTGGGGTTTTTAGATGTATCTTTGAGTTGGCAGCACTTAGGGTCTGTTGAAACTATAAGCCTAAGTCTGAAACTCAACACCGAGCTCTAAAATGAAAATCTAGGAAGAACATTACATTCTAGAATTCGCTTTCCTGATTTGTCAGAACTCTGCATTATCAGTATTCGGTAGGGTCTGGGTTGGTTATACCATGAGGGCAGGCTTCTTTTTTTCTTGGTAGCGTGCTTCTTTGGATGCAAGTTTTCCTGAGGGATAGTCTTCATTTGCTTCACTTCAGATAATTGGCATTATCAGAGACTAGCTTTGATCTTAAGTCATTCAGTATTGTAGAAGAGATGAAAACAAGAAACTATACGAAGCTGCCATAAATGCTTGGTTCTTCTTTCAGTACATTCTGGTTTGGAGGTTGGAAGATGTGGGGGTGGAAAGAGGTGTGTCTAAAATATTAATGTTCTTGTTTCAGCGTTAACAGGAAGTATCATATTAAATGACTGAGACCAGCTATGGAGTTATGTCAAGTAGTTTCATTCTGGTATGTGAGTGACAGAAATAGAAATCTTTTTTAGAGTGCTCATAGATGTGGATAATGCACTGTAAGATACATCTGAAATTGAGGATCTTTTTATAATTTCCTATTTTTTTCCCTGTAGTTTAAGTTTACTTTCCTTGTACTCAAAGATCAGATAAGTGGGGGTTTTTTTCTGAATTTTTTAAAGTATTGATTAGTATTTACACTTCATAGGGACAAAATAGCTCTTTTTGTTTGGTTTTTGAAAGAAGATGAAGTAATTGACTAGAGTATGAAGGCAGTTCTTGCTGCTGGCACTGTAAATTTGCTAAGTATGCTGGTTTTCTTGCTATGTTAGCATTACCAGTGACTTTTGGTTTGGGCCACTGAAGATGAATTAGAAAGTGCTAAGTAGGAATTCTCAAAAATAAATGTAGAAAAACCGGCATGTATTGTACCATCCTGAAGAACCGTTAGTGGGGTTTTGAATTAAGGTAGTGATGTTCTCTTTTGAAGTTCTTACTTCCTTTCTCTTAATGAGTAAGTTATGAAGATTGAAGCTTTCTTATAATGCAAAATTAATTCCATGTCCAAGACAGGTTCCCAGGTTCCCGGTGCTCTGCTGCGGGAACTTCGCAGAAAGCGGGACCATCTAGTTGCATTAGGTGTTGAGAGGAGAGACTAGAAGAGATAACAGACCATTTGGAAAAGTAGACCTATATTGTTGTCTATCAGAAGCAAGCTGCTCAGAGATTCCACGATTTTGGTTTCCTTCTTATCTGTGAGAAAGTACTCTCTAGGCTGCTTTGGTTTAGGGGAGGTCTGTATCACTTGCTGAAGAATTTTTTTGTTTTGGCCTTACAAGAAGAATCAATTAAAAAATGGATTGTGGTTGTAGCTTAAACGTGGATATTCTTATGGTATGACTGTCTCATGAAGTGACAGATAACACAGGGAACTAGCCTCAAAACAAGATGATTGGGTCATAGGTCTGATTGTAAACTTTCAATTACAAATACAAATTGTGTAAAGAAGAGAACCCGGAATGCTCATATATTTATTATGAGAAGATAATTGTTATCTATTAAAATGTTTTTTAGGCATTCCTTACCACTCAAATCATAGAATCACTTTGGTTGGAAAAGACCTTTAAGATCATCGAGTCCAACCTTTAACCTAACCCTGCCATCCCACCACTAAACCATGGCCCTAAGCACCTCATCTGTCCTTCTTTTAAATACCTCCAGGGATGAGGACTCGACCACCTCCCTGGGCAGCCCATTCCAATGCCTGACAACCCTTTCGGTGAAGAAGTTTTTCCTAATGTCTAGCCTAAACCTGCCCTGGCACAACTTCAAACTATTTCCCCTCATCCTATCACCCGTTACCAGGGAGAAGAGGCCAACACCCACCTTGCTACCCCCTCCTGTCGGACAGTTGTAGAGGGCGATAAGGTCTCCCCTCAGCCTCCACTTCTCCAGACTAAACAACCCCAGCTCCCTCATCCGCTCCTCGTAAGTCTTGTGCTCCAGACCCCTCACCAGCTTTGTTGCTCTCCTCTGGACATGTTCCAGCAATGCAACATTTTTCTTGTAGTGAGGGGCCCAAAACTGAACACAGTATTCAAGGTGTGGCCTCACCAGTGCCAAGTACAGGGGCACGATCACTTCCCTCCTCCTCCTGGCCACACCACTCCTGACACAAGCCAGGATGCCATTGGCCTTCTTGGCCACCTGAGCACACTGCTGGCTCATATTCAGCCAGCTGTCAAACAGTACCCCCAGGTCTTTCTCCACTGGGCCAGTTTTGTTTAATATCTTTATCAATGACCTGGATGAGGGGATTGAGTGTGCCCTCAGTAAATTTGCAGACGACACCAAACTGGGTGGTAGTGTTGATCTGCTCGAGGGGAGGAGGGCTCTGCAGAGAGACCTGGACAGGCTGGATCGATGGGCTGAGGCCAACTGTATGAGGTTCAACAAGGCCAAGTGCTGGGTCCTGATAAAGATATTAAACAAAACCAGCCCTAGAACTGAGCCCTGGGGGACACCGCTTGTGACCGGCCGCCAACTGGATTTAGCTCCATTCACCATGACTCTCTGGGCTCAGCCATCCAGCCAGTTTTTAACCCAGCGAAGAGTACACCCATCTAGGCCATGAACTACCAGCTTCTCCAGGAGAATGCTATGGGAGACTGTGTCAAAGGCTTTGCTGAAGTCCAGGTATACAACATCCACAGCCTTTCCCTCATCTACTAAGTGGGTCACCTGGTCGTAGAAGGAAATCAGGTTGGTTAGGCAAGACTTGCCTTTCATGAACCCATGTTGGCTGGGCCTGATCCTCTGATCATTCAGTCTTCTTCCTACTTTGCCGCTGCTAGTGAACAAAAGGTAGAGAACAGTCGTATGTTTTCTAACAGGCCTATGGTGTATTATTAACAACATGTACACACACATGTATGTGTATATGCAAATATATATAGATATATGTGTCAGTATTGAGATGAAAAGTTAAGGTAGTTAAAAATATACTAAAAGCAATTATTTTATGACTGAATCTCAAGGTACTTAATTTCTCTGGCCGTATTATTTAGTACTTTGTTTTTTCATGGGTTTTTGTTTAGGCTGTGGACAGTGGGAGTTTCTGTTCCCAAGAGAAGGTGTAGAGGGCAGAGGAGAGAAAGGAAGAGGAAACGGCATGGGAGACAGAGGAAACCAAAGGATAAGTGAGACAGGGAGGGAAAGTGGAATTAGAAAGCAAATGATAAATGGATAAGAGAGTAGGTAAAATTCAAGGAAAAGGGAAGAAACATATTTTAGCTTCAGCAACAAAGGTAAATGCACTGTGTCCTCTGTAAGGGACTGTAATAGCTACTTCTGGCACTAATACCGGGATATCACAGGACATGCTTGTGCTGCACACTGTCATCTGGTAGACAAACTCATGGCAGATTTAAATAGTTTAAATGAATGATGTTGGGTACTGAGAACTGTCTAGCCAGAGCAGCATGGATGCTCTGCGGTCTTCTTTATCCTGCCAAGACTGGTTCATCTGTGTGTGGGGAATAGTCTGTTCAGTTTTTCAAAACAGCCTTATCACCAAAGCACTTGAGCACTTAATATGATAATGGAGTTTATAATTTTCATGCTTATTACTCATGACCTGGACCTTAAAATTGGATGCTACTTTTCCAGTTTGTTCATTTTAGTAACACAATTGTTTGCATGTAACAAAACAATGAAAATTTTAGAGTATAATATTTTTCTCTTTTGCTTCGTTTTTTGTCTTTATACATTAAAAAATAAATTACCTGGTTATTTCTAAAAGAAATCCATTCAAGAGGTTGTTGAGATAAGCTTTAATGCATGTTGTCTCTCAAGCTAAAATCAATTGGGTTTTACAGTATGTGTTATTTAGCAGAAATATGCAATTAATTTTATTATTCAAACGGTTTTGTTATTTAAAGGCTAAAAATATTTAAAATACTAGTTTCTACTTAATGTGAAATGTATTTTTTCCCTTTGAAAGGCTGGATAACACCTTAGAGGAAATTATATTTAAGCTGGTGCCTGGACTTCGAGAACGTAAGTTTCTCATTTGGTTTTGGGTACCTGTTTGGCTTGATGGAGGGAATATGGCTATTTCTAATGATGTACCTGTAGTATTGATTTAAAAATTCACTTTACTGTTCTTTGATGTTAACTAGAGGAACTGCAGCGAGAGATTGAATTTTGGAAGAAAAACAAACCTCAAGAAAATGGACAAGGTGATGATTATTTTTCCCCCCCCTCTCTCATTTCTTTGTTGAGTAACATTGCTCATTAAGCCCTGTTTTTTCAAACACTTATGCATGTACATTGTTTTTACTGAATTCAAAGATACTATAGAAACTTGTAATAAATCTATGTAAATGTAATCTGGGCCTTCATGTACTGCTGCTTATCTGTTAAGCAGTTGTTCTACACACACTAGCTGGTTTACCATGATTTTTATTTGCATTTCTCTAAGCTCTCACTTTCAACTCATGTGACTTTCCACTTGAATTCTTAATTTTCTTAATGCAGCAAGATGCAGAGCTACTTCAGTTTTTTATAGATTATTTTCTGTTACTGAATTTGACCAGCTGTTAACTAGGAGGTTGTCAAGAATTAATTATGACAAGTAGCAAAACAGTTTTCCACACATGTTAAACAATTGTTTTATATAGATTCCAAAATGCTTTTTCTTTTTTTTTTTCTTTTCTTTTTTTATTTTTGGAGTTGACCCATGAACTTTGAGAGCTCAGTATTGAGGTGCTAAGTGAGGACTACACCCAACTGGTTTTATGCCCCTTTAATTTGACATCAAGGTTTTGATACCGTAGCCTATTTTGATGTGGACATGTTTAAGAATTTTTGAAAGGCTCCACTAAGCTAAAGAAATAGCTATTTATAGTAAAGGATCACTGTCAAGTAAACATCTTGCAATACTCTTCTGCACTCAATTGTTTATAATAGCTTTTCAACTTTATAACATTTCATTTTCTTTCTGACTAGTTCTGTTGGTTTGGGCATACATTATAAGGGACGAGGTTCTTTTCTCTGTTATATAATTAAATGAAGAATTGCAAGACAGTTTAGATGGAATTATATTGGTTTACTACAACGTACTGTGTAGTGTATACCTGTTGAGTTTTAAAAATATTTAGAAAATACTTTTATGAAATATAGACATTTGTTGACTGTTTAGAAAATAATTTTATGCTAAACACAGAAAAAACATATAATTTGCAAATTTGTATTGTGGCTTACTTTTAACCAATTGATTCTTCTGATTCTTACCTTCTTCCCATAATTTAATGCTAAACCTATTGGAGACCAGTTACTAAGTGTAATGAATTATTGTATCGTTCTGTGAATCAGAGGAAGGGTCTAACTCTAAAATACACTTTTAAGTAGCTACAGATCTGTCCAGCTCTGTTAGTGACTTTGTCCTTGGGCTATGGAAATTTGACTCTACAAACCACGTGAAAGTCATAATGACTCACTGAGACAAATTATGAGCATTTAAACTATTTTCTGTCATAAACAAGCATTTAGAATCTTGCCTGAGAATAAATTATTTGGTGAGAATACTTTCAGTAAGAAGGGACTGTTTCGGTTGCCCATACCATCCCCTGCAATCACATAGTCAGTCTTGGTTAAAGAGTCCATCATTTAGGTATTTACCACAAGTTACAACACAGTTACCAACCCTAGCATCTAAGATCTCGAAAAAAAAATCCCGGGACTTACAATTTTCACATATCAGAAGAAAAAATAAAAACCCAAACAAGGCATATCTCAGGCATTGGTGACTCCACTAGGAGAGTGGTTACTAGAAAGAATTGATGGATGATGATAGGAAACCGAACTGTGGTACAGAGAAAAAAAATCTATTGGTCCTTTCCAGTCTGAACTGGAGAAGGAAGGCAGCAAACGCTTTACATTGACTCACTCTGGCCATCAGTTTTACTCTGAGTATCTGAGAAAAGCAGAGGAAGTTGACAATTTCCAAGGTTTGCAAGAAAGATGAGGGAAAAAAAAAAAAAAGACACCAAATTCCACCTTAAGGAAGGAGGCGTGGAGGTGGGTGGGGAGTTGGTTTGTTTTTCCTGTTCTTGGCTTGATGCTTTTGACTTGGAGAATGCCAAGTCCATTTTGGCGAAATTAAAATTTCTTTTTACTTTTTTTTTTCTTTTTTTTTTTTTTTTTTACTTGTATCATATTGAACTTGTGACATTTTTTGTGTGTGTACCTGTTTCTGGAATGATTTTATGATTGGAAATGTGCTAATTTCCCTAGTTCTGTAGTTGGTTTGCTCTTCAAGACTTTTCAAACTGCGCAACTAAATCTTCCTCCATTATTCAGCAGTGATAACTGTTGAAAGTTTTGTGTGTGTTTGCATTGCCAAAGAATCTGTGAATCAGAGGCAGACTCCTCAGACAAATGCTTGTGACAGCTAGACTGTACCTGCTTTTTTTAAGAGTTTGTTTCCTGGACTTTCACAAAAAGAAAAAAGAAAATCTGTAGTTTGATAATGTAAATTCTATTCATAGCAAGACAATAGGACCAAAACGTATGTATGACACACATTCAACTAAATGTGTCAATAGCTAGTAGGCACTTGGGGACAAATCTTTTATAATTATAAAATACTTAAAAACAGTACAAAAGAAAAGCAATGAATGTAGCTTAAAACTCGTCTTGAATATGTAAATTAAAGAAAGAGAACTAATTACTGTGTCTAGAAACTTTGGCATAGCTTGATATTTTCTAAAGTTTTCATTCTATCTTCTCATCTTAACTCTTCTAAGTGACTTGAAGGAAAACAGCAGAATTTTATCTGAAAGTTTTCCAGGAAATGCAAAAATAGCTTATTCAAGTTACTTGTGGTAAAGTTTTATTCCAACAGAGAGCAGCCTTTGTTTCAAATCAAAATAAATAATTTGAGGATGGAGGAAAAAACATGTATATAATAGGGTTATTGTATACTGTATTGTATACTCCGTTTTATGGTTCATTTTATGGTTATTTACAAACATTGTGGCCTTATCTAGATGTACTTGCTAGTCTTAGCATTCGAGTGTTCAACTTTGAAAACTGTAGGAGATGGTACCTTTTCCAAAGAGATTTTTAAACCAGGAATCAATGGAACATGTAACAGCATCAGTGAAGAGCAATAACATGGTATCTGTGATTATATAGGATACACGTGCTCTGCCAAAAAACATGGGGACCATTCCTCTTTTCTTATATTTTCTGTTTTTAGAGGGGAGAAGTAAGTATATGGCTCTTTAGTTACAAAATCCTTCTGGAGAGAGATACCTGGAGACACCTGGAGTTTTTCCAGTGACATTACTTAGACCAGGTCAAAAGTGGATGAAAGTTCAGTTTTCTCTTGTCTTAGTTTACTTCATGATAACATTTCAGGAACTTGTCTCCACTGGGTTATTGCGGCAGACTGTTAATATGAGTCGATAACCCATGTTACTGTGATATACAAGTGTTGGGATTACTTATTCCACTGTTTATGTAAAAGCAATATTTTTTGGCAGTGAACTGCCACACCATAAGAGTAGGACTATGTGGTTGAGTGGTCTTGATGCATGCGCAGTTGCAGGGTTTTAATCACTGGACACAAACAGAAGTAGACAGCCATAACCATTAGTGGTCCATCCACCTAATTATTTTCTGTCACATAGAAATCAGTTGTTTGCATATTAAATAACATTTCAGTAGTAAAACTTGGTTCTCAGAGATTTGTAAATTGATCAATTTAAGAATGCACTGAATTAAAATTGTATAAAGTTAATTTGAAGAAAAAATATACTCTTTAAAATAAATATTACTTTAAATATGTGTTTGTTGCTACTGTGACTTTTAATTATTTTACACTTAAATAACAGGATCTTCATATTTTACAGATGAAAGCCCAAAAGCTGATAAACCCAAAGTAGATGAGGAGTGTGATGAAAATGAAGAAGATAAAGACTATCACAGGAGTGACCCACAGATTGCTATTTGCCTCGACTGTTTACGCAACAATGGGCAGTCAGGAGATAATGTAGTCAAAGTGAGTAGTACAGATAATCTGTGCTGTTGTTATTGTTGGCAGAACAGCATCTTACCGGAACCAAATAATTTTATAAACAATAAACTTTAATATGGTGCCCTGTCTCCACTGCCACGCTTATTTAGTCCTTCTGGTTGAAACATTTCAATGCATCTTGGAATTTTGTAAAAAATACAATTCCATACAGAATCCATGTGACAGTGGATTATTTTTTTTTTTATGGATTATAGTTTTGCAGTCTACAGCTTTGATGATACATAACTGCATTACACAACAGATTACAGTATACCACAGAGGTACTTAAAAAGCAAGTTGTTGGTGAGCTGCCTCACACTTTGAGGATTGCTGTCTTACCATGCCAGCGTGAAGCTGCTTTTCAGATATGTTGTGCACTGGGATCCAGGTCTTCTGAGCTGTAAACCTGATTCTGACACTGCTGTGTTGTCTGTGGCCTCGGGTAGGTCACTTCCAGCTGTAAAGTGTGTAGGGTAATACCTGCTAACTGCTGTTTTAAGAATTAGGGGTATTTGGTTTCTATTCATGAAGGGAAGATTCCCTGATGGTACTGAGGCTAGAAGAAGGTGTTTAGAAATGCTCTTGGATTTTAATAATGTTTTATTAAATTACAAAGACAAGAATTAAAAAAAAAAAAAGAAATTGTCTGATAAAACACTATTTATTTTCCATGTACTATGTTACATGTATAATTTTGGAAGTTCATACACAATAAGAAGGTTTTGATTCAGCAAGAAAACATGTATGTGTTATCACTGTCTGTTTATGCTATATACAGTAAGAAATCTGTATCTTCATCACCGTGTAGGTTTCCAGCTTACCTGCTGAATCAAAAATATTAGGTTCTGGATCACAGAATCTGTGATAATAGATCACATCTCAAGTTTGTGACTTCCTTGTATTTTACCTAGTTTTTACTTCCTTTTTCTCTCAAGGACTGAAGAAATTCTAAGAAATGTTAACATGTATGACCCCCAATGTAACAAACACAAACACTTAGATTATTTAAGTTCTTATGGTGCTTTTGGTGGGGTGTTTTGGTTTTTTTCTTTTCTCCCATCTGTATCTTTTGGAAATTCCTTTAAGAAAAAAAGAAAGGTTAAATGAACTTGTCATCTTGTAAATTTTGGGGGAAAAAAAAAAAAAAGTGAACAAAAATGATCCTATGGTGCCATTATAAATTAGAGAGTTAAGTAAAATTGGTTCCTGGTTGAAAAAAATGATCAATTACAGCTGTTCTTGCAGTAAAGATTGCTTACATGTTCCAAAATTTCTAACATGTTTTTTTCTGTTTTGTTGCTGTTGCTTTAGGGTTTAATGAAGAAATTTATCCGCTGTTCTACTCGAGTGACTGTGGGAACTATCAAAAAGTTTCTCAGCTTAAAATTAAAACTTCCAAGTTCTTATGAGGTATATTTGAAAGAACGATGCTTGTATTTTTATTTCCCTGCAAAGTATTAGGTTTTTATGAAATTTAATTTAATCATATTTGAACTTGAGGAATATTTTTTTAGCCCAATGGTTAAAAGTAGAGTGCTGTTCAATATTCCGAGTTACATTTTCTGCCCTTAAATGAGAAGTGATCATTCTATCACAGCAACTAAAGTTGCTAATCAAGGAACTCATACAGTTCTAGTAACTTCAGTTTGTTGCTTGCCTGTGAAGGAACAGATCCATTAGGTTTTGATATTTTTGTGTAAAAAGTAAATGCTTTCTCTTTCCATGTGGCTAATAAAAAGTCACTTAATACTGTTTTGGGCTAGTAGCTACAGGGGAAAAAGAGACATCAACTAGGCATACAACTAATAACTCTGCAGTTTCATTTTCTTTAGATCTAAGAAACTATCCAGTAATTATGAAGAAGTGAGGAGCAATACCATTTGAATCTTTCAAAATGCAGATACTTTTTTTGCACCTCCTCTGGAATTAGGTGGAATTTGATGGAGAGAGGGTCTTCGCTCCATGACTGATTTGATCTTGACCAAGACCGTTCGCTGGGGGGACTTGCTAACGTGATAGAAGTTGTGATGCAGGGTGGAGCTCGGAAGTGTGAGACTCCTGCCCCTGCTTTCCCTCTTCCCAGGGATACAGGAATTTTGACCTCAGGGCAGGCTATTTCTTCACCAGTTCTCTTAGAGGAGTCAGTGACTCCACGAACTGCAGGCTGCCTCTAGCACAAGTGGCAGCATCGCAGCTTTGGCCAGAGTTAGGTTAGGTTAGGTTTGGCTGAGGTAGGTTGGGTGCACAGGTTATTGCAGGAGTTTGTCACACTGTCATGACACGTTGATGTCTCTGACACCTTAATGGCTTGTGTTGCATAGTATCTGCTTCAAAATTTTGACACTTTTTCCCTCTAAAAAACAGAAAAGCATTATGGCTATAGTAATGAAAGACTTTTCAAACATTTTCAGTGGAGGGTAGAAGTAAGATTCACAGTTTAAACCAGTCATTTTTCACAGTAAGATCATTACTCTTTTTTTTTTAAGTTTTGTCTTCAGTTGATGAAGAATCATGTTTGTATACTCAGAAGTGCATTTTCCTTGTAATTTATAGTTATTTTAAAGTAATATTTTAAATTACGTTATCACTTATTTTTAAAGAATGAAAATTACAGTACCTCTGTTTTGTATCTTTGGGTTTGAAAGAGCGTTGACATAGCAAGAAGGCCTTAAAAATACAGCACAAGGCTCTCTCTTCAGACAGATAGTGTGTAGTATTGATAAATATAGGGAGTCTCTGTCTGCTGGTGATTTCCTGCCTAGTTTAGTAGACTTTCTTCTGTCCATACCTTAATTGAAAACACAAAACTGAAAAAATTAAGTGGAGTTCTACTATTAAAAATAGCAGTATCGTCTATTGTCAGTATGTTGTATTTATCCAGGTTTGATATGCATGTCTGATAGAATTATTGCATAATGATAGGAGTTGAGGGATTAACTCTCAGAGATTCACTTAGGAGTTAATTTAGACATGAAAATTTTGCATCCTTTGTCTTACTGTTTGTTCTGTTGTATTTTAAGCTGGATGTACTATGCAATGGAGAAATCATGGGGAAGGATCATACTATGGAATTCATCTATATGACAAGATGGAGACTAAGAGGCGAAAACGTAAATGCTGCTACATTATTAATAAATTATGTTTTGGTATATTTATTATAGAGAGTATATGTGCTTTCACAGCTCAGTCCAAAATACATTCTGTGACCCCTCAAAAAAACCCTTATTTAAAAATGCATTTTGCATGTTTTCTGGACATCTTATACTAAATCCTATGAGTGAAACCCTGCAGCACATATATTGTACAGATTCTGAGACTTAAAAATAGCAGGTATACAAAGTTTACATGCAAGTTCTGCTCTGAATTTTAAGTGAAGTAACTGAAAACCCAAGCGCTCGTTCTTTTTCTGCAAATTTGCTTTTAGTGACCTTTTGAGTTACAATAGTTGGGGAATTTGCATCCAGCAGTTCTTTATTAAGTGTTTCATTCAGTAGTAAACTGAAAGTGACACTGAAAAATTATTGGAGAGATCTAATTGTTTTATTACTGTTTCTGTTAATGCTACACCCATTTTTTTTAGATATGCTGTATAACACTAATACCCAGATAACACAGCTAAATGGTTTTTCCTTGCTGCATGTGTATATTTTGAGAATTGCTATATTTAACTTGCATAAAAGACATTTCTTTCAGGTCTGATACTCAGTTTGATTTAGCAGCCCTTATATTGCCTTGTATATTTAGGGTTTTTTTAATCATATCCCCATTTCTTCTCTTTTATACATTCGTTTGTGTATGGCTGTTGATTGTTCTTCACTCTTTATTGCTTTGTAGTATATGCAGATTTGTTGTCTATCACTACCAGCAGAGGCTATATTGGAGTGCAGCTCAGGTTAAACACTTAACATATCATAATGTACTGATCTGTAGAAAATTTCAAACTTTCTGTACTTTTTTTTTTTTTTTTTTAAGCTTCCTAGTACTCAGAATAAAAAACACTGGGGCACGGACAGAGAAGACAGAGGATTAAGCACTCTGTGGAGTTAACAATTCACAAGATTCTCAAAGTTTTACCTTAATCTGAAGCAGGACAGGTGGGAAGGATAGATTTTGATAGGAATTAAGGGAGTTCATGTATGTAGGCAAGTATTCATTACATTTGAGAGTCGTATTGCTCTGAAATTTGATGATTGCTGAAACCCCAATATTGCACCAATAAAGGAGCTTTAAGTAGTATTTTTTCCAATACTGCCTTGAAACCAGTGGGTGTTTGTTTGGCTTGCCATCTTACATTTTTGTTAGTATTGGCTGTGTACTCTTAGGAAATGTTGAGGCAACAACTTTAGCGATAACGGAATTCTTTCATGACATTTAATTCTGCAACCCCTGCCTACAAATGGACTTTTGGCCGTTGCATTGGTTTGGAAGCAACAGTAACTATCATCTTGACAAAAAGGACATTATTTGTACTGGTTAAAATTTTTCAAAAATTTCAGAACTATAGTTTTTAACACTAAATGAATATAAGAGTTGACAACTCTTGATTAAATTTTTAAGTTCTGTTTACATAGTATAGTCAGGTATGCGCTCATCTTTTCCCTTATGTAGTTTTAAATCACTCCCCTGAAGTCAGAGATGACAAACTAAAACCTTTAAAAATTACATTGTGGTGGTAATAAATCCAGTAACATTTGGGCTTCTATGAATTTTTTTTTTTTCCCCCCTAACTGTGTTGGGTCTTGTTATAAAACAGAAGTTGTGATGGTAATTAATTAACAATCTTTTCTTTTGGATGAAGATCAAGTAAATCCATTATCTCCATCTTTTGTACTACTCACCATGAGCTTTTACTGGCACACCCTTGGACCTTACAAGAGATAGGCTAGTAAAGGGAAAATAGCCATTTGTTTATTAGAGAATTCTTTCCTGTTTTAAATAAGTAAATTAATTTTAAGCTTTACATTTGAAAATTTAAAAAAAAAAACAAACATTAAATGGTAAATGTATATGTCCAGCTGTGGATGCCTCTTATCTGATCAGAAAATCATCTCCTTCGCAGTTTCGGTGTCAGAACTGCTCATCTTCGCAAGTCTGCTCACAGGATGGCACTTTTTATCAGGTAAGAGGCACTCACGACTGTACATACTACAGTCACTAAGGTCCTGTCAGCACTTCAATTGTAATCCAAGTTGTGGAGTTTTTATAATTCCTCGCTACAAAGTGCTAAAACTCTATGAGCAAGGCTTGAGCATTTTCATTCATTCAGAGAAACTTTATTGAATGAATAACTAGAATCTATTCAAAAGGTTTAGGGGTTTCTTTCACTTTACATTCGGCCATTTATCTTTTTGTTAGAGAGAGATTCTGTAGGCTGATACCTGCATCAGTCTGGAAGGATTATCTGCCTCTTCCTATCTCATCCTTCTAACCAGTAACATTGGGCAGTCACTGATGAGGGATCAAACTGAAGAGTGTGAATCAAAAGAGACTACATTGGTTTCATCTCTTTATGGCAATTCATATGTTCTTTTTAATGAAGTAAAGAAATGGTAGATATTTCTAATACTATATTCCTTTTACATCTTTTAAAATTAGAAATGGAATAATGCCTTGTCTCTAGAATATAACAAACCAAAACCTCCAGAACCTGCAAACTGAAGTTGATTTCTAAATTTCATTGATCAAACTGGTTCATACATATATGAAACAGTATTTCAGTTTCCTCATTGAGAATTTTGATTTGAACTAATTTCGAAAAGTTACTTTGGAAGTTTGAAATAATATTTTTGCTTGAGGAAAAAATTAAATAGAGGTCATTCCCCACTATGGATGGAAGTTAGCTACTGCAGTCGTGCCTGCTTCAATAATTAGAATTGTTCCAGCACATACATTTTATTTATGCAGTTGGTTTGTAATTTTGTTTGCAAAAAAACACTGAGCCTCACTGGTTTACACGGCAGTTTCAGTGAGGTGACTGCTCTGTCTCTGCCCGTGTGCACTCCCAATTAGAGTTGAGTACTTTTAGAGACAATTTATATAATCAAAGTGAAAAACATGTGAAATAGCATTTGAATAATACAGTAGTCATATCTTACGCAAAAAAAAATGAGAGGCCAAGTAATTTGTGATAGTACAAATATGTGTTTCTTTATTACATGTGCAGACTACACATGGTGCTCCCTGTCTTCTCTCCTAAATGCTCCTGATACTGTTGAATACCTCTGGGTTTCTCTGCACTCCAGTTTGTAAATCCCCAGCAAGTATGATCACATTTAGTTCTGGTGATCATTTTACTACCATGGCATGGAAGGTTTATTAACCTGTATAGGTCTCTGCAGTGGTATCTTTCTTTTTTTCGTCACTGAAGTTCATCTGTATTGCATTTGATGGATGCAGTAAAATATTTCTGGTTTTAATGATAGCTTCTCTAATAATTCTTTATAATTCCAAATTTGCAATAAAAAAAGACTTAAATTAATGACGTTCCTCTGCCTTGTGGCAGAGATGCAGTAGAGCCCATACCGTTGCTGAGACAGTAAGAATTTCCTGGGGATTGTGCTATAGAAAACATGCAGTATCCTAATGAAGTTGAGGAAAACATCAGACTTAAATGAAACACTGACAGACTGAAAAAATAAGACATTTAGTAAAACAGAACTTCCAGTGACAAGTGCCTAGGCATTCTGTGGCACTTTCTGGAAACCCACCCACTCTTGCCTTCCCGTTCCACAACAGTTTTGTCCAATTCAGGGATCCAAGCAGTTGATTTGCTTCCCCGCCCCCAGTAAGAACTAATAAAAATGTATCACTAGATCTGAAGTTGAAGAGTTTGGATTTGGGGGACAAGTTAGCCCTCATGTCTCAAAATCAGCTGCCAGCAATTTGACCTGATCTTTTTTCTTTTTTTTTTTTTTCTTTTTAATACCAGAGTAGCCTGGCTCCCATTAACTAGTGCTGACTATTAGTATAGCTATGGAACCTCCATATATATAAAAATCGAACAAAGTACATCATCTGCAAATGGGCTTTGTTTTAGAAAGTATAAAATTTCAAGATTGCTCTTCCTCAAATACAGCAACACAGAAATAAGAGTTGTTTGAGCACTCCAAGTATGTATGTCATAAAACATATCAATCATGAAATATATAAAAGCAGATACAGGAATTTTGTATTAATGACAAATAACTACAACTAACTGACTTAGAGATTAAATATATTTTTGAAGTACAGGTTTGGATTTAACTGTTGAAGTGTATAGAATTATTTCATGTAACTAAAACTGATTGCCGTATACGTGTGTCATAGGGATAAACTCTGGCTATTCTTAAGGCAATATTTAATTGCATTTTCTTTGCATTTTTTTATGAATTATGTCTTCATGTTTTCTTGTCTGTTTTTGTTGTTGTTTTTCTCTTGCTTTTGTTTTTAGTCTTACCCTATGGTACTTCAGTATCGACCTAGAATTGACTTCGGTTAGACCAAAGGGCCAGATCCCACTGAGATGAATCCTGCACTATTTGTTTACCCATCGACAGATTGCACAATGAATGGATGTGCCTGGATTAGGGGGACACAACCAGATTTTCAGCATGCAAATAAGGACATTGTCTTTCTTAAAATTGTCAGTTGCATCTCTGTTGTTTTTATTAGAGCAAGCCAAGTGCCATTCTGCTACTGAAATGTGCATAAGATATTTGTGTATCTTACGAGTGTGCTGCAAATCATAGCCAAAATCATGAAGTGTACAGTCAAGATTCCAAAACTATGGAATATTTTTGCTTGCGTGTTAGAAAATTTTTCTGGTCCTAATATTGATTACACTAGCAAAATGGCAGAGTGCTCATTCCATGTGGTGTTGCAGTTTCACACACTTACTATTTTACTGAATATTGTTGTTTAAATCATAGAGTACTGTACAAATAACTAAGGATTATACCTTGAAAATATTTTGTATAGAAAATATATTTAGAAAAGTGGTGATTGGGCCACTACCTTTTTCTTGATAAGCTTCTCATGGGTCCAGGTATAGCTCACTCATGAGTGTGCAACAGTCCTTTTGCAGTGAATGAAGATTAATTACCTTTAACAAGAGATGTAGAACATGGTAATTCAAAACAGTAATTTTAAATCTTCTAAATAGATTCTGCTAATACTGCTTAAAAGCATCGCAGCCTTTGTGATTGCACTTTTCTATGGTTTCCCTAAAGATTGGAATTTGGGATACTGGCTATTTTTGGAAAATGGCTTCTGGTCAGATTACATTTCTTCTAATAAAGCCTCCATAAAAAGGAAGTTAAAAATAATGTAAGTGTCTATGGAACAAATAAATCCCTGTAAGATTCCAACTAAGGCAAAATCTTACATAATTACAGCCTTTCATAGTAATCATTTCCTTTTAAGATTGGCTGGAGGTATATAATATGCTAAAACAACAAAAAAGCTTTAATTACATTATATGTCTCTTGTGACTATCTGGAGTTTAGAACTCATTATAGAAATTTTCATTCATATTTCCATAAAAGTAGAGGTAACGCAATACTGAAGATAAGCAGTCTGACCAAAATAATTGTTCAGGTCTTCTTTTCCTATGACCTGGTAGTGCTGGATAAAAAGTGATTGTTGCCTTAGGTATTGCAAGCGTAATGGTTCTAGGGTAGGATGTTTGGCGAGGTTTCTGGTTATTTTGCGGGGAGCACAGTCATGCATTAAGTTTTCTGTGGTCTTCCGTTGTCTTTGCTCTGCTTAAAGGTCAGTTGAGTTTTTCACTTCAAGTTCTGTGGAGATACTTACAGTTCTGTACCATTATGTAATTTCTACTTAATACACGCCTGCTAGTATTGTAGATAACTATTTACTTTCTTATGCCTTTTGCATATAGCAAAAAGGAACCAAATCAACTTTTCAGAAGCTACTCTAGAGTGAGCTAACTGTACTTAGATAAGACAAAGTGAAAATTCTGTCTTGGGATCAAGTATAAAAGGTAGATGCAAGGCTGTTGCTCCTCTGTGAATTTTTGTTCCTGTACATTAGTATGTTTCTGTAGGAGAAAGAAGCATGTTGTGGATTAAATCTGGCCCCTTTAACCTTAGTAGGAGTTCTAACATTGATGACTTGAGGAACCCATACATAGTCAGGTTAACTTCTACCATTGCACTCCGAAGCCCGTATGACATGCAGAAATAAAGATGCTGTCAGTAGCAGTCTGTTTAGGAAACCTGCCATTGCAGGTCAAGGTTGCACATATTGTGCAGATGCCAGTGAACCTGGGGAAGCAAAACATTTAGGAAGCTGCTGCTCTTTTCTGCAGGCATAGCATGCTGACTGGTATAGGCACTGGTGTGCCCACGTTGTAGATGGGAAGGGGGGTACATGCTGGCTGCAGGAAGCAGTCGTCTTTTTGCCCACCCAGTCTATGATGTGCTACTTGACAGAAACAAGAACATACTCCATGTAGGAAGGGCTTTCCTTCTCTGCAGGGTCTCTAGGGAAAAACAGATTCTTTGTGTGTATGGAGGTCCTCCTCCTCATGGAGCAGCTTGGAAGAGCAGAGCATGCATGCTAATTGCAAATCATTCTTCTCTTTAGTATATACAGTTGTTTTGTATGGTAGAAATAGGATATTCCTTGTAAATATTTACATGCACATACAAAGGACACCTTAGAGTTTTTATATATTTCACATGTTTTTATACCAGAATTTTCACTGTAGAGTCACTTGACATAAAGCGCCTGTTTCAGTTTATCACAAACCTAATGGTAGTACTCTTAAACATAATTTCTGCTTGGTTCAGGGGACAATTTTTTTCTCAACAGTTGCGCCTGCTGTTTTGACAAATTTGAACAGATTTGTTTTAAAAAGAGAAGAACACATTATTTTTAATCCATTTTTCAGTTACATTACACAGAAGTTTGCATCCACCTAACAGGACCCCTGCAACAGGACTACTTTGTATTGGCTTCTGAGTGGCAACTAGCAGGAGATTTGTCTGTCCAATGACTTTCTGTATTCACAATTCAGAGAACTGTGACTTCTCTTGATCAAAATTGGACATTGGTTTAATTCATGGTATTTTCTTGATGCAACTTAAAGCTACATTACGGAAGGCAAATCTTCATTTTAAGCATGGAAAATACTGACAAATAAGATTTAATGTTCCTAGATGAGAATCATGGCATTAAATGCATATGATCTAGCCACCTACACTTTATGCATTTCTGATCTGATGGCAGGGTGCCTGAGTGCTGTTATAGTTTAATAGTTTTTGTAGCAGTGAAGTGCCAGTGAAATACATATCTTAACTGGGCAGCTTGTGTAACACAGGCATTGCCTTCTTCCCAGGAAATTTCTCTCCCATATAATACCTATGTGCCATGTGTCTACATATTTAATTCAGTTGTGCCAATTAAGAATATCTGAACAGCATAGGAATATGAGAATGCGTGTACAGATTCCTGTGTGCCAAAGATGGGGTAAAGTGAAAGGAGTACCTAAGCATTCCATTAAAACTGCACCATATGCCACCCGAGAGCAGACTGCTGTATGCAGTCACACTTTCTGAGCATTTCCATGACAAAGTGTCACCACTGCATCTTTGTAAAGAATAGGAATATAAAATAAGTGTTGCTGCCACTGTGTTTCTATGGCTTTCCCATATTGGCAGTACCTAGCTGCAGAGGAGTAAGACCTAAAAAATTCCCCACTACTAGCTAATCTTGCTGTCTCTTACTTAGTACATTTGATGTTTGTTGGGTTTTTTTTCCCTAAAAGTGAAAATCTGCTTTTAACTCTGGGGTAAGTCATTAATGAAAATCATAAGCAACTTTTTGTTGGCCATAGCTGTATGCTGCATTTGTCTAGTAACAAACCGTAAGCTAGGTTTTACAAGTGAGATCCTATAATATCAAAACCAATATGGAATTAGATGATTAACCAAGGAATGTATCTTCCATCATGCGTTACTACATTGCTCATAGCTAAGGGCCTAGTCCTGTAAGCATATTTTTATTTGGATGAAATACCAAATAAGATTACCACAAAAATCAAAGTGACTCATCGCTAGAGCAGGTACTGTTCCTATGAAAGCTTCTGGGATCTGGGTCCTGGGAGTATGCAGCGCTGTAAGTGTATTGTGCATACTCAGCTAGCTTGCAGTTGTTATGCAAAAAAATTTCTGAAAAGTACTATTTTGACTTTACTGAAAAAGTTAGATAAAGCAAAGTGCCTGATTATTAATACAGAATACCTTTTAAGCCCACTATTTGCGTTTGGCAGGGTAATATTTGCTTTGTATTTTATCTAGGGTCTTAATATTTTCAGCAAGAAGATTTCATAAACATGTTGTATTGAGAAGCTTTCTTTCATGGGAAACAAGCAGAAAATGTGCTCTGTTAGATAATTTAAAAATCAAAAAACCTATCTCAGTAGAAACTATATGAAAATAAGTACTTTTATATTTAAATTATTTCATTTTCTGCGTGAGGAACCCTTGAAGTCTTGATCTTGGTCTTTTTTTCTCCCCAGGTTCCAACAATTTGACTTGGCTTTTCTCTTCTGCAGTTATCAGTAACAGTTCCAGTATATCTGCAGGAGAAAAGAGATTGATCACAGTCCCTTTAGATATAACCTAGGCTCTTGCTCTCCGCTGCAGACAAAGTGGTGATCCAGAGATCCGTCTCCATGTCTCCCATGTTTAATTGTTAGACATGACTTCGTGAGAGACGGAAACAATTTTCTTTCTCTGCTGTTTTCTCAAATAACAAAATAGGCCAGTGCTCAGTCCTTTCACTGAACCAATCACTGAGTTGGATTGTTCCCAGAAAAAGTGTTCTTGGCAGGACTTGCAACCAAAGGAATAGCATCCAGCTCAGCCAGGTACTACATCTGGCAGAAATATTAGAGAGCAGATAGTTGTCCAAAGCCAGTCTTAAGTCTCAAAATAAACAGACTGAGCCCTGTTTATAGGGGGGCTACATAAAACACTGGTCACTTACCTGGACTGATCAAATGCATTTTTATCCTGGAAAAGACCAGAGGTGGATAAGACTTACATGCCTATCCACAGCAAATACATAAATATAGAGATGCTTAAATCAAGAGCTCGGTCCAGTTTCTTCACTTAACCTAGACAGGTTGAAGGCATCTGTTCGATTCCATTGGAAATGCATATATCATGCAGGACATTCCCCTCTCATTTTACTTCATGCTATGTTATTTTATTATTTATCTCAATTAAAATGTTTATGCAGGCACCCAGTGTCCTGTAATTAATTCTAGGTTCTTACACAACCTTTGCCCGTTCCCATATCCCGCCCCATTTCATGCCCAACAAGTAGAAACATTGAGGAGTTAGAAGGGAGAAATTGCACATGAGGAATCGGCTCATAGGTTTGGTATGTCAGGCAGCTCTCATGGATTTCAGTAAAGTTTTCACGTCCTGCCTTTTGAATCCTTTATAGCCAGTTTGAACAAGGTAATGCTTCCGCGAGGTGTTCAGCCAAAGACACTTGTTTGAGGAAGGATTGCAGTCTACTGGAGCGTGTTCCAGGATGGATTCCAAGACACAAGGGGATTGATTCGCCCTAAAGGAAATGTGAAAAGCTTCCAACTGCTCATTTACCACAAGTTTTATCACGTATGGGTGGTCTGGCCTTCAGACCTCAGCTGAAATCTACCTGTTGATTTTTTTATTTTTTTTTTCTTTTAACTACTGTCTACTCTGTCTGTAGATCAGATTAAAACATCAGATTCTGGAACAGGAAATTGATTAATTAATGAATTCCTGGCACATTCTTCCATCCAAGGCATGTGCTATAAATCTTCTTCTGAATTCAGGTAGCTTGCTACCTTACAGTTGAGTAAGGCCGTTGTTTCTTTCTCTAGTAAGCAATTTAGGTCCGTGCAGTTCTGGAGCGTGGCAGTGAACCCGAGGAGCTCTATAGAAAGCTCCAGGCTACCTTTTGTACTTGCAGAAAGAGACCCAGTTCTATAGGCTCAGGGTGGGGGAGACATGCTGGAGTGAAAGATTTCAACAAGCAGAAGTTTCAGTAATTACATTAATTTTAACCAAAGAGGGGCATTAGTTTGACTTTGCATGTTTATCTGAACCATTAGGCATACTTTCCTTTGAAGTAACTTTTGCGTGTATTTTTAGCAAATGCTTCTAACAAGGTGTAATAATGTGACAGTTGACAGGATGAGGTGAACAGAAGTAGTTACTGTGCACTTGCCTTTTTCCTCATGATAGTGAGTGGAAAGCAAAGCGAGAGTTGAGCGTGGGTTGCTATCCGATACACAACCTGGCTGCTACAGCAAAGCGTTTGTGCTGCTACTTAATGTGCTGAGGTTGGTATTACAAATGAAGTTGTAATAAAGCTGTTTATTATCAACGTGCGAGGCACATATTTTATGATGGTATTCTATTCCTAAAATTCTCTTTTTGTATTAGGGTATAGCGGACGTCGTTGCTGTTGTCTCATGAATTTTGATGCAGTAAAATGAAACATGCTCCCTTTTTACTGAAAAATACCACATACTAATTGATTCAAAATTACTTTGTTGCTAGATACTTAGTTTGTTCATAAAAAAAGGGTTGTTTAAAATAAACTATTTTTATGGGTAATCTGATTGCCTAACAGTTTTAAGGGACCTATTTAATACCAAAGGTAAAGCCACCCAGAAACTGACTTGGAATAAGGCATCGACGCTTTTCTGGAGTGCTGCGGTCAAGAGTTACACCTGGAATCAGTCAGGCAGAACTTAACCACCGGTAGCTGTCTGTGTCACCGAGCGAAAGGGTTAGGCACACCTAGCAGTTTCCAAAACTAAATAGAAAAGGAAAAAACCCGACAGGAGCAGCATAAAGGTTGAGTGAACAGACCAAGAGTCGCGCTTTGAGCCCCAGCTCACGTTGGCAAAGAAAAGCACAAAGGCTTGCGTTACTGATGCGTCTGCTATACCTGGCCTGTGAACTAACAAAAAACTTCAGCGTGCTGTCAATCCTGTAAACCTTCCAAAGCACAAAATATTCACCAAGCTACTTTGGGGTTTTCTAGTCGTAGTTCAGTGATATTTTGGAGGGTGGAAAGGACAGACTTGGAGGATAATGAGAAGATATTAAGTAACGTTTTACAGATTTTTATAGATATTTTTTTAGCAAATGGCATTGCTGTCCTCGATGTGAGACCATTGATTAGCAAGAAGTCAATTATTTTACTTGTGCAGTATAAAATAGAAAGAATAAAGAAATCCAAATATCTTGATTTCCTTTTCCGGGATAGTGATTAACTAAACCGGAAAGTAATAGGACGATTTAATTATTTAACTGACTGAAATATTTCATTCTAAAAACTCACTGATCGTGTTTTCTTTTCTCAAATACAAGCTTCTTAGCATAAACATGAAGCAATGCATTGGGTTTTTTTCCCTTATTGCAGACTTAAATATTGAAAGGAAAATATTTTGCTTTTTTTTTTTTTAAATTAATGCAAAGCCTGAATTGATGGATGTTCCAGGCTACTGAGTAGATGATACAGTTACTCTTAATGGAATTTTTTTGGGATGGGGGCCTAAGTGTCCTTATATAAGCTGTGATCCAAGTTACGATAAGAAAGGAGCCTATGGTGAGCAGTAATAATGTTCTAATGCTTCCTTGCATTTGATCAGTAGTTACCAGTTTTTAATACAACAGCCCTCACAGTACTTAGGAGCTCATAGAACATATTGTGATGTTATGTTGCTAATTTGTTTTAAAATATAAAATGTTTTAAGCTTTTTGTCAAAAGTGATAACATCATATTACAAATAAACCTTTTTGTGGTTGTAAAATTTAGCTTATAAATCATTCAAATTGAAGTGAAAAAAACACAGGTCATTGTTAATGACAGTCTATCCTACTATTAAGAATATATGTATTTTTGTAAAGGAAAAGCACTTGTAGATATTTAATCAGTCCAATATCTATCTATGTTAATGTTTTGGAAAAAAAAAAGAAAACAAAATGCTGCTTAGAGAATCACTTACATATTTTTATTTTTTGTGCTCAAATGCATTTTCTGTTGATTTATGGAATGTTTATTCTGTGTGAAGCTGTATAGTTAGTACAGCTGGGCTAAATGCATTTCTTACCTTAACATAATCAATTGTATCTGACTATGATAATATATTTTCTGTCCGATCAGAAAGCTAATTGCAAAACACAGACTGGTGGTGCTGTTCTTCATCTTTGATATTCACTTCATCCTGCCTTATAACATTTCTACTTCATAATAATTATAAAAAATACTAATAATTCTTTTGTGATGTTTGTGTTTTAATGGATGTTTCAGGGTATATTTGGTTATTCAGCTGAATCTTACTATAATTATAGACATTTTTATGCAATGGTGACAGAATTTTATGTACAGTATTTAAAAAAAAAAACAACTGTTCCCTGGATGAAAAAGTATGCCAGATCAGTCAAGTTTAGTACTTGCTTTCCTCCAAAGGAAACTACTGCTGGGTACATGCATGGAGCGTGATTGCGTCACTAAAGTTTCTGAGCGTTGTACAAATAGCATTCTTTAAATTTAGAATAATTAATTTCTTGTAATATTTTGCAGCTATTTGAAACCTCACTCTTAACTGTATTTTGATTCAATGTAGTGCATTAATACACTTTCAGGAAAAAAAACAGGAAAGCAAAGAATTTTATTAAAGTACAGTAAAGAGTGGTGGCCACATTTGTTTGTAATTATTGGTGTAAAATCCAAAATCTATTTACTTATTTCAGTGGGATTCTACAGGGGTCCGCTCCATGGGCCTGATGCCGAGTTAAGCTCTTCAGTTTGACCTCAGCAGCGGAGCTACTTTCTTTAATTATCCTTGTAGCTAAGAGTCGAAATGGCCCAGAGTTCCTGCTTCCTCACTGAATTTCCTTTCATGGGTGGCTACCATTACTTAAATTTATTCTTACTGTATTAACCTTCCTATAAGTTTCACAACATTGAGTGTGTACGCTAAGCAGTAGAATTCAGGGTTATAAACTCAGCTGAGTGAATACCTGCGGAATTGTCAAATTGGGGAGAATGTCCCTCAGCCTACGAGCGCGTGCAGTGCCGCGATCTCGTTCCTACGCACGCTTCACAGAGGTCTGCATGTCACCAGGTTTTGGTGTGGTTTATTATTTTAATATTGTCCATTTTTGTAATTTGTAAGAGCTAATTTCTGTATTAACTCATTGGGAGTCAACGTCTCAGGGTCCACAAAGTAGCAGTTTAAAAAATTAAACCCATTTGAGCCGAGTGCAATACCAGTATTGCAGTTTTGTATCTTTTAAAGAACCAAGTATGTTGTGTTTTGAAGGATTTAAAAAAGCACTGCAGATTTCACCCAGTTCTACCAAAGGAATGTTGGTGGGGTTTTTGGTTTTTGTTTTAATCTGTGCTAAAATCCTTAGAAGCTGAGTGTGGCCCTGGAGAAAACGAGACGCCTGTAACTGAGTTAGCACTAGTGAGCGATTTTACAATTCGGTAAGGGAAGTGCTGGCAGTGAGGGGGGCGGGGGGGGCTTGGCAGAACCCCATGTCCTGCCCCTTGATGTAGAGTGAAGTGTGCCCGTTCAAAGCTGCATCGACATTTGTAAGCACATTTATTTTAGAACAACAGCTCACACAAGCCCTGTAAGCGGACCTTTTAGAATCTTGTGTATAAATATATCTGATGTGTAATGGTATTTCTAATTCTGTAACTACCTGTGTGGCTCAGTACCGGTGATGTTAAATTGAGCGCTTCACGCTAATGTCAAGAACGTTCACAGCACCTTTATAACAGCTGATAACAAATGACAATTTGGTCTGACCCGTATGCTGCAAGATGCCTCTAGCCCAGTTGGATTAATTTTATGAAAAATCTAGATGAGCAAGAAGTATAACTAATCTGCTTACTAGCACTGAATTGCTCCTTTCTCAAAGCAATAAATATATTCATGTTGTAACATCTGTTGTGCAGCCTACAATACGAGTTGTTTTGTTGCATTGTTTCTATATAATTTATTTTGTGCAATAAAAAAAATCTCTGGTTTTATCTGACTTCTCTCTAGTCTGCAATAATATTTGAATTAAAACATTTCCTAGCTTTCTATCTTCATCGTGCAAGCATGGTATCAGCTCACAGAAATGCGGAGTGGAAAATGGAATGCAGTAATATTTTTGCCTTATAGAAAAATCAGAAGGTACTCAGATGGCCTAAGTGTGTTCTCAGAGGGTGTTACCATTAATTTTCATGGGTGCAAAGCCTGCCTAGCACTCAAGTTGATTGGATTTGGCACTCCGTTTGTAAAATAAAACCAGGTGGGTTACACGGTGTGACTCTGCTTGAGGCTTTTTTTAAAAAGTACCTTTCAGTGCTTAACAATCCCATAGAGCTTCTGCCATGGGTTTTTTTTTCAACCTAATTTCACTGCTTTTTATCATGTCATTTATTTTTTCCTTTTTTGTTCTGTCCCTTTTTGATGTTTTTCTGAGTTAATGTGATTTCAGTAGTACTTACTGTTCTGTGCACTTACCTTCTGATTACCCTTGATTATGTTGTTGGGGTTTTTTTAACTCTAAGGTAACGTAAAATAAATGTGCATGCAAATTGGAAGCTAGAGGTTATCCTTATAAATGAGCCCTTGGTGGGAACTAACAGTTTTCATACTATATGCTGAGTTATTGCGAAGAAAAACAATGGAGGGAGAGCTGTTATTCAAGAAAACTCGTACCTTTTATCTGAGATGCTGCTGTGAAACCTGCGATACCACTGCGTGAGATCTGAGATGTGGTTCAGATGCGGAAATGATGGAAAGGGTCGCTGATTAAACTAAAATGACCTGAGACAAATAGCATTTTGCATCCTCTTGTAAAATGCTTCTAGATGTTAGCAGAAGAAGATAATAATTGCCTGCAAACACAAAACTTGAAGGTATGTGTAATGCCTTGCAATATGCACGTGGGATTAAATGAACCACGTTTTTCCTGGGATTCGTTAGCAACGTTGCAGTTTGCTGATAGGCAAAGAGCAGTTGTGGCACTGCTGGCTGCTGTGTAACCCGCGCAGCAGCAGCTGTGCAGCCTTGCTGGCTTTCTTGGAGCCTTTTCCATGTTGAATATTTGACCTCCAGCTTTGTCAAAGGTCACAGATTAATACTTCTCAAAGTGTTCTTGAGACTTAGGGTCACTCAGTGCGAAAAAACCCAAATGCTTCTATGTAATGTTACTACATTCTCTATGAAACAGAAATTGAATCATATTTACGTGCAAAATTCTGTTCCTAAGTAGGGAGCAATGTTTCGTCAAGCAAGATTTCCATTAAAAATCTTGGTGATTAAATTATTTTACATATTTACTTTGTTTCAGGTAGCTAAAAAGAGAGTCCTTGTGGGGGAAAAAAACCCATGCATAGGACTAGTAACAAATGCCTGCTCAGTCATAAACCCGGGTTATGTTTTATTGAAGGAGGAGAGTAGGTGGTGCACAAACAGCTTTTTACATCAGGGGCACAGCATCTGAATTTCCCTGTTAGAGCTGTGATGCAAATTGGTTTCTCTCCTGATTATTTTTTTTCTCTTTTATTCTAGAGGAGAATATGCTATGCAACATCATTATAGGCAAGAGTAATGTTTTTCAAAAGAAAAGTGATTTAGTAATCTAGTTTTCATTAAAGAAACAGAAATTTGCTGGCAGTATGTAACGTGAGCACCTTGTTCCAGTGGCAGACTTCCAACATCTTCATTTGGAAAGAAGACTGCTGCATTCATAATTCATAAAAGCATTGGCATCTATCCCATTAAACTAACATGGGAAGAGAAATTCTTATATTCAAAAACACTCTGACCATCTCTTCTAAAGTATTTATAGGTGAAGTTCTGTCCTTGCCTGTGGTACATAAATAACTACAGTAAGCGCATTTATAGATATGGAAAATAATTACAATAATGAACCTATTCTTACGAAAAGCTGTACTTAATACCAGTTTTGGAGGCACCTTAAATTCCTTGGATTTCATGTCATCCTTTGGTGACCAAAGATGCACAACATGTATGTGCCAGTGCCCCTGTAGATGCCCTGTCCTGCTGCCAGTACATCTGTAGAACTGGCGCAGCTTGTTACTAGCCAGCATTATTGCATTAATTTTCCTGTCCATGTCTCTCTCAAAGTGGTGTGATTTTCTCTCAACTACTTTCTAAAAGGCATTTTATTCCCATGCTCCTCCCTATAAATTATTAAAAGGGATGCATGTGTAAAGAGGCTACTCCGTGCACTCCTCTTGTCCTGATGCTGCACCCAACATCAAGATTTCTGAAGACCTTAAAAAGTGGGCTCAGGAAGTTCGCTGCTGCTCCTGCGCTTTGCTAGTTTATGATCTTGAATTTGTAAACCACCTTATTACTCATGAGTTAACTCCCAGCAGAAAAATGGCTTTGAACGGCAGATCTAATGGTCTCTTCTGAGACAGATAATGCGTGACTCATGTTAAGAAATAAATTATTTACTTGTGATATAAGGGGCTACTCGCCTCATTCCACAGGACTCTCAAAATTCAACACAGTAACTTGAATCCGGTTCATGTGAACAATTTGACTGTCACCAGCCTTGACATAAAAGAATTTTATCATTGCAAAAAATGGCACTTGTTCTAGTGTACATCTAGGAAGTGCTAGCCTAGCTGAAAATAATGGATTTCCTACTATTTACTGTAAAAACTACTATATAGCATTGTGTATAGACTATGTCTTAGGTTTTGTACTGCATATATTAAATAGCTCCATAGATTTTCTACGGCACAGCATCCAGAATTGGCTATCGGGACAGCATTCATTCCATCTAAGTTCCGGAATGTATCTGAACCCATTAAAAAGGAAAGAGCAAGGGATGTACTCCCAGTGGGTACCCGTGGAAGCAAACAGCACCCAGAATAGCACCTGCACTTCCATACGTATTCTTTCTCCATCTCCAGTGTTGATTGCATTATAACGTTAAACGGCAATTTCACAGACTGCTTCTAGACCCTTTCTCTTTCAGCAAACGCTCAGCTCAGATTGTTGTTCTCTGGTAATGAAAATCCCTGGAACAAGAGACAGACAGATGTGGATCTGTGCTGGTAAGTAGGTCTGTAACCTGGAGCAGTCAACTTACCCCTCTTCTCATGTTCTGCCGATTGCCAGAATCTTTCTTCTTAGTGCTTCCAGAGTACCTTATAAGTAAAGGAAAGAACGTTGCTAATCTGGTCGAGGTAAGCAATATGTAACTTGTTTTTCAATTTTTGAATAATTGCTATTTTGAAGAGCTCTCTGGCTAATACTTCGAGAGGATGAATGTGCGTGTTCAGAGCATTACCCATCTAATTTGACATTTTTCGAATTTGTTCACAGACATACAAAATCGAAAATGTTTGGTCACTGTGACAGGCTAGTGGAAATTTGTGTTAATACAAGAATAAATAAATAAATAATGCTATAGCTTATTTAGAGAAGTTACACTATGAAGGATAAAACCTACACTGTTCTTGTTTTCAACCAGAGGCTGCTATAATTTAATTTGCTATACTTGCTATGAAAACCACAAGGAATTATGCTGCAGCATGATAACAGCATGAAACCAAAGACATGTTATGTAGATGCTTGATCCCATGAAAAGGTGTGTGCTTAGAGAGTACTCACATACGCAACATGCAACACGTGTACATCAGCCTTTAGTGATGCTGTTGTGGCAATATGAAGTGGCCTGCTGGTAGCCTGTTCTCCATTTGTTTTACAGATTGTGTCTAACACAAGAAAACCACCTGGAAAATAGAAGCCTAGCATATCAAAGGAATCCAAAGTGCTGTGTAGGTTATGTATTTAAAACATCCACGTGCAGGAGTGACTTTGCCATAGCAACGTGGCCATAGGTGGAAGGAGAATAGAGCAATTTAGCCCAAGAAAGTAATTCAGCTGCAACGGCGAGATAAGTTTTCC